ATCGTCGCGTTCTTTCTCTCGTTGTCTTCGCCCTCTTCATCATACGGCAAGGTGATTCGCACAGGGACAGAAGACGAGAGGGGAGCTGGGAGGATGGAGGGGGCGAGGGGGGCGTGGCCAGGCCGAAGCGATTTGTCTGATGACTCGGTTGTAATCGCTTCATGCTCCAGGAGGGGTCTGGGCGCTCCTGGACCCGAGACGGGAAATGTCCTTGCCGTCCTCTTCCTCAACCTCTTTCTCTCGTTCGACTCGTCTCAATTATGTTCCTGGCCGAACGCGTTGTGGTGCTCGCGGGCCACTGCGGTGCTCGCGGGCGCACGCTCTGCCTTCACCCAACGGCTGTTCCCTTATGCTCCTGCCTCGCCGGGAGAATTTGACACAACAACAAGGGGCATTCGTCCCCGAGTGTTTCTTGTTTGCAAGCTGTGTGCAAATGACGTGGCCAGCCGGAGCGAGAGCTGAATACATGTGGCCGCCTATCTTGCCAGGGCTCGGCCACCGTGTGGCAAAACACGCCAGCCACCCGCACGTGCATACAGCAACTGGCCACCGCATGTTCCGCATGTGATTCCAAGCGCGCGTGGTCCCAGCCTCATGGATTGCTCGAGACATCCAGCTTTCGATTCTCGACTTTAGCCCGATCATTCTGCAACAAGGATGCAGTACGTCAAGGGCAAGCTTGAGGTGGAAGTGGAGTGACCCACGTGTATCCCACGGGCTTGCGCCATTCTGCACGCCCCCAGTGCGCCCCAGCGATGTGGTGCACACGTTGTTGTGGCAGCGAAGCACTTTGCAACGCAATATGGAAGAATATGACGAGAAGAGGAGCCTGACGAAGAAGAGGAGGAAGAAGCGGAGGAGGACGACGACGACAGGGCCACTTCCCCTCCCGGTCAAAGGCGCCCTGACCCCTCGCAGAGCGCGAACCGATAGCACAAAGCCCATCAACGCATGTCGTTTCGGCCTGGCCCCGCCTCTCTCGCCCCCCCTCTCCTTCTGCTTCCCCCCTTCATTTTTCGGTCCCTGCGTGACGCACCTTGCAGCGCAATGCGGAGGACGAGGACGACGAGAAGAGGAGGAGGGAGGGGAGCTGGAGGAGGAGGCGGAGGAAGGAGCGGAGAGGATAGAGCAAACCGTTTTATTCCCAGCAATGCTCTACGCTGCGCTTAGCTATCCATTGGTATCCATCGCAGGTTCATGCATACCCATACGGTAAAAGGACACAATAAGTGGACACTTCCCCGCTCCCCCAATCTCGAAGATGGCACGCGCGGGGAAGACTGCGGTCGAAGTGCAGGTTGCTCAACCCACCTCCAACAATGATCATTGGGGGGCATTGACAGATGCATGCGGCATGAGCGTTCGTTAATTTCTGATCTTTGGGGGGGGGGGCATTGACAGATGCATGCGGCAGGAGTGTTCGCTAATTCCCTCCGAGGCCAGTACCATGGTGCACGCTCTGACATGGCAGATCCCACCTGATACCTGCTGTCAGAGCTTTCTTTGCTTCTCCTCGGCGTTCCCAGACCACGCTCTCACGCTGATCTCGTCGCCGTTGTCGTAGCTGCCGCGGTCTCCTTCGCCGTGGCAGCGCCGACAAAACGTCAACCTCCCGAGCTGTTCCCCAGCCCGCCCGCCCCGCGAGGCAGAGCGAGCGACACGCGAGCCAGTTGCAGGGCACAGCGCGTCGCCGTGGAAGCCGCCGCGGCACGCCACGCAAGAGTTCCCGAGCGGGTCCCAACGTGTGTTGACCCCGCTCAGCCTGACCGACAGCGCGCAGCCTGTGTCCTTGGCATCGCTCGGGCGTGTGTGCATTGCTCCTTCGGCGAGGACCATCGAGGAGCATCCTTGCTCAGCTGGCGAAAAAACCACGCACGAAACCCAAACAAAGCGCTGGGACTGGACGCCCGAGCGATGGCCAGGGGTCGGACCGAGGCCATCCAGGATGGAGGCCTCGGGGCAGCCTCGCGCCCTCCATGGGGCCTCCCGGGGTGCCCCCGTGCCACGGTGGGATGCCATTCGAAGGCCTGGCCAGAACGCGCTCGAAAACTGCCAACCCCATCATACGGTAGAGGGAAACAATTACTGAACACTCCCCCTCTCCCCCTAACTCAATGTTGGCACGCGCGGGGGAGGTTGTGGTCGAAGTGCATCTCATCAGACCCACCGCCAACTTTGAACATTGGGGTGAGGGGGAGGCGTTGATGGATGAATGTGGCATGTGTTCGCTAATTTGTTCCGAGGCCTGTATGTCCTCTGTTTCGACCGCCATCGGGGCTGGTTTCGGGCCCCGGTGCCATCACACGCGGGCACGGGGCGGAGAATTGCCTTTCAGGGATGCGGTCGAGGTTCCCAGGGCCGCGGATTGAACAGAAGCTTCGTCGGATGTCTGGGTCGGCGTCCATGTGGATAGGCTCACGTCTGGGAGGCTTCTCCAACCTCCACCGTTTTTCGTGTACGTCTTTCTACTGGTTTCAAGCGTCTGCCAACCTCGGGATGCGTTCCAGCAGCTGCTCCTTGCCGAGAGCGTTCTCTCGGATCGCATGGATCGTCCCGAACGGCTGCCAAAGAACCGAGCGTTGACCCGAAAGCCAGGAGGCACCGCTACGGAGGGTTAGCCTCAGGGGGGATGCCTCGAACCCGATCTCTCATTGACCGCGGGTACTTGCATCGCATGCACGTGGTACTAAGAAGAACGCCTTCGGCGATCCAGACTTTCAGCGATTATTCTGCGCTCCTCTTCGTGCCACAGCCTCATCCTGTCTAAGCTGGTGCGTTTGCAAGGGCGCTGAAACCGTAGGGAAATACGCATATGCTGAGTGCTAAGTACATGCGCGTTGCTCGCCAAATCATCGCCGATGGGGCCAGTGCACGCATGCGACGCTCCATCGCACGCGGTGCGGAAGGGCGAGCGCATGCGCAGTGGCGGTTGGCGCCTCGCCTGGCTCCCCAAGGGCCCAAGAGGAAGGAAAACGAGGAGGAGGGTGACCAGCTGAACGTTTCGGAATGCATTTGGGGGCTGAACGTGTCCGGGGGTTTTCGGACGTGCTCCGTCGGCCCCCAGAGGTTTTCCTGCCCCAGGATGCGCTTCAGCAGCTGCACCTCGCCGAGAGCGTTCACGGATCGCCCCGAACGGCCACCAGAGGCCAGAGTTACGACCCGAACCCCGAGTGGCTCTTCGCCAGAGTGACCTTCTACGCAGGGCTTTGCGGGGGCGCGTGGAGGGCCAACCCAAGCACGCAGGCAGCAGCTTTCGCATCGCGCGGAACGATCTGCAAGCCGCGCACCAAGGGTCACTGTTGCATGGGGCCATGCCTGTGTGCGTAGACGAAGGATCTTCATTCAGACAAGCTTTCGGAGGTCAGTGTGAATTTCGCGCAGCGCGCCAGAGGCGGCGCTGGCGGCGCGGCCAGCGCCGCCGGGGGTCCAGTGCCGATCCACGAAATGCGCGCGCGGGGCACCCGGAAGCTTGTGCTTATGCAGGTGTGGTCTTCTTCGAGTGTAGCCGAGAAGAGGTGCGCGGTTGTCCGAGTGCCGTTGCCTAACACGGAGGGAACGCGGGTACAGTCGGGGCGCTGAAGGAGGAACCCGTTTCGTCGGGGATGGGGCTCAGTGTTCCTTAGTTGTTTTACCGTTTGCCCTCGGCTTGCCTCAGGTGTTCGATGGGAGGTCGAAGCTCAGCCTGCGGAGAGAAGGGGCCTCGTTTCCTCTTTGGGGTTCCTTAGGTCAGTGCCCCGATTGCATAGTCGCAGGTCTTCAGACGGTTGTCTCCCAACGGAGCATTTCCCGCTGTGACACTCAATCACAGTTATTTGTAGGGACCTGAGGAGAGGGAAGCTGGAGGGAGGGATCTTTGGTGACTCTTGGGTTTGCACTGGTCCTCCTCCTCCTCCTCCTCCTCCTCATCCTCCTCCTTCTGGGGGCTGTGCAGGAGGCTAAGGGATTGCACTGGGGCTGTTTCCCCCAGGATCTCCCTCTTTTGCACGGCGGCCCTGCCCGCTGCGGCTCCCGCAGAGCAGCCCCGGCCGCCCCAGGAGGACCTCCGCGAGGCGTGGAGAACCTGGAGGGAGCAGGCTTGGCAGGGCGCGGAGGACCCCCTTCGGGGCGCCCAGGGCCTCAGCGATCCAAGGCTCAGGCCACATTGGAGCGGCCTGTTTTGGACCGCTTTCGGGCCCTGGGGGGCCCTCGCCGGGCTCACAGTCGAAGCAAACTCAGGAGGAAGGATCTGCTTCGGGGAAGGCGGCCAGACCTCCGGGGGCCCACGCATCGGAACATTGGAGCGCTGAGTGTTTGGGGCCTGTGGTCGTCGTCGCCGCCGTCGCCGCCAAAGTCGGCGTCGCTGCAGGCACACGGCGCTACAGGTTGCGGGGTTCTCGTCTTCGGGCCGTTCCTTAGACTTAGGTCGGGGAACTTGTTCGCAACCGAGGCTCGCCGGGGCCTGGAAAGCACCTTCGTTCTTTATTCAGCGTTCTTCTTGGTAGCATAGTGGTTTTAGTGCGACAAACACCAATGATTGTAGTGAGACGAGATCTGTACCGAGACCTCCGACGAGGTGCTTTTTAGTCCAAGCGGTTGTTTTCTCGACTTGGACCTCCAGGGCACGAGGTCATCAAAAATGGATCGGGGGCGAAAAGCTGGCTCGGCGATGAGGTCGAGACCTCTGGGGTCGCGCACTGGCAACACAAAATTGACGGATGTCTGGGCATATGAGCTGTCCCTCGCCAGGACCATACGGGTAGTCGTCCGAGTCGTCTTAGTTGTCGTAGAAGAGCTAGTTCGAGTGCTAGTAGTAGTAGTAGTAGTAGTAGTAGTAGTAGTAGTAGTAGTAGTAGTAGTAGTAGTAGTAGTAGTAGTAGTAGTAGTAGTAGTATCAGGACTAGGAGTAGGAGTAGGAGTAGGAGTAGGAGTAGGAGTAGTAGTAGTAGTAGTAGTAGTAGTAGTCGTAGTAGTAGTGGTAGTAGTAGTAGTAATTCATAATAGTAATGGTAGTAGTGGTAGTAGTGGTTGTACGACTACTACTCATCATACTAGTAGTAGTCGTTGTCGTAGTCGTAGTCGTAGTAGTTGTAGTAGTAGTAGTAGTAGTAGTAGCAGTAGTAGTAGTAGTAGTCGTCGTAGTAGTAGTAGTAGTAGTAGTAGTATTAGGTGTAGTAGTAGTAGAAGTCGTAGTAGTAGTAGTAGTAGTAGTAGTAGTAGTAGTAGTAGTAGTAGTAGTTGTAGTAGTCGTAGTCGTAGTAGAAGTAGGCGTTGTAGTAGTAGTAGTAGTAGTAGTCGTAGTAGTAGTCGTCGTAGTAGTAGTAGTAGTAGTAGTAGTAGTAGTAGCAGTAGTAGTAGTAGTAGTAGTGTTACTACGCCGTTACAAAAGTTCGTCACGTTTCATGAGAGCTTGAAGGTGGCATGGGTGTCGTGTCTTCCTTTCGCGTGAGCATGCGGGCAGAGGCTGACCACTGCCCTGGCCGCGCCGAGCTGGCCCCCCCCTTCCCCCTTAGAATCCTAGCGGACTGAGTCAAGAGCGGTCGGATCAAAGATCCGGGATTTCCCAAAGTGGGATTTCATCCCTTATGATAATAGTGCAGATTTAAAACGGGACATTTTGAAATCCCGACGTAAATTCACACGGTTCTAGAAATCCCACCGGGGCGGGATTTGTCTTTGCTTATGCAAGATGATCGACTTTTCTTTTATGACGAAACTTTTGTAACGCCGATGTAGTAGTAGTAGTAGTAGTAGTAGTAGTAGTAGTAGTAGTAGCAGTAGTACTAGAAGTCGTGATCGTAGTAGCGGTAGTAGTAGTAGCAGTCGTGTTAGTAGTAGTAGTAGTAGTAGTAGTAGTAGTAGTAGTAGTAGCAGTCGTAGTAGTAGTAGTAGTAGTAGTAGTAGTAGTGGTGGTGGTAGTAGTAGTAGTAGTGGTAGTACTAGTCGTAGTAGTAGTAGTAGTAGTAGTAGTAGTAGTAGTAGTAGTAGTAGTAGTAGTAGTCGTGATAGTAGTAGTAGTAGTAGTAGTAGTAGTAGTAGTAGTAGTAGTCGTAGTCGTAGTCGTAGTCGCAGTCGTCGTAGTAGTAGTAGTAGTAGTAGTAGTAGTAGTAGTAGTAGTAGTAGTAGTAGTAACGTAGTGGTAGTAGTAGTGGTAGCAGTAGTAGTAGTAGTAGTAGTAGTAGTAGTAGTAGTAGTAGGAGTAGTAGTCGTAGGAGTAGTAGTAGTAGTTGTAATAGTAGCTGTACGACTTCTACTCATCATAGTAGTAGTAGTAGCCGTAGTAGTCGTAGTAGTAGTAGTAGTAGTAGTAGTAGTAGTAGTAGTCGTTGTAGTAGTAGTAGTAGTAGTAGTAGTAGTAGTAGTAGTAGTCGTAGAAGTAGTAGTAGTAGTAGTAGTCGTAGTAGTTGCAGTATTAGTAGTAGAAGCCATGACCCTAGTAGAAAAAGTAGTAGTCGCGCTAGTAGTAGTAATAGGTAGTAGTAGTAGTAGTCGTAGTAGTAGTAGTAAATGTAGTAGTAGAAGTAGTAGTAGTAGTAGTAGTAGTAGTAAGAGTAGTAGTGCTAGTAGTACTAGTCGTAGTAGTAGTAATAGTCGTAGTAGTATTAGTAGTACTCGTGATCGTAGTAGTCGTAGTAGTAGTAGTAGTAGTAATAATAATAGTAGTCGTAGTCGTAGTCGTAGTAGTAGCAGTAGTAGTAGTGGTAGTAGTATAGTTATAGGAGTAGTAGTAGTAGTACTAGTAGTACTAGTAGTAGTAGTAGTAGTACTGGTAGTAGTAGTAGTAGTAGTAGGAGGAGGAGGAGGAGTCGTAGTAGTACCAGTAGTAGTGGTAGTAGTAGTTGTACGACTACTACTCATCATAGTAGTAGTAGTAGTAGTAGTAGTAGTAGTAGTAGTGGTAGTAGTAGGAGTGGTAGTAGTAGGAGTAGTAGTAGAAGTCGTGATCGTAGTAGTAGTAGCAGTAGTAGTAGTAGTCGTAGCAGTAGTAGTAGTAGTAGTAGTAGTAGTAGTCGTAGTAGTAGTAGTAGTAGTCGTAGTAGTAGTAGTATAGTAGTAGTAGTAGTAGTCGTAGTAGTAGTAGTAGTCGTTAGTAGTAGTTAGTAGTAGTAGTAGTAGTAGTAGTAGTAGTAGTAGTAGTAGTAGTAGTAGTAGTAGTAGTAGTAGTAGTCGTAGTAGTAGTAGTAGTAGTAGTAGTAGTAGTAGTAGTAGTAGTAGTAGTAGTAGTAGTAGTAGTAGTAGTAGTAGTAGTAGTAGTAGTAGTAGTAGTAGTAGTAGTAGTAGTAGTAGTAGTAGTAGTAGTAGTAGTCGTAGTAGTAGGTAGTAGGTAGTAGGTAGTAGGTAGTAGGTAGTAGGTAGTAGGTAGTAGGTAGTGGTCGTAGTAGTAGTAGTAGTTGTTGTTGTAGTAGCAGTAGTAGTAGTAGTAGTAGTAGTAGTAGTAGCAGTAGTAGTAGTAGTAGTAGTAGTAATTATAATAATGATACCTCTGGTCGACGTTTCATCTTGGTGGGCCCAATGCGGTGTGTACGCCTTCCTGGCTTGGCCAGAGAAGCAGAGAAGCACCTGCGCCGCTCCTGGTCCCAGGATGGGCCTGGCCAGGAGCAGTGGATACGTATAGACCTTGTCGCCGTAGACGCAGGAGCCGTCTCGGCCCTGCCGATACGAGCCGATCTCGAGGATCTCGAGCATCTCGGGTCGGCTCGGCTCCAGGTTCCAGCCTCGGTCCCGATTGCTGCACGTGGGCGCCTCGGCTCGGGCCTGCGGATGGCGGCCTTCGATGCCATCCGGTCCGCCTGCTGATGGCAGCTGTGTCGATGCAGTTCGCCGAGGCGGGGCGATTTATCCCGACTCGGCTCTGGGCTGCCCTGCCCAGGCGCTGGGGAGCATTCGCCACTCGGCGAGCCAAGGCCCGAGGTCCTCTTGGACACGCGTGTCCCGAACACCGCGGCCTCGGCCTCTCGTGAAGCCAGCGCCCGGAACTTCAGGCTGCGGGCCCCGTGAACAACATTGACAGGACTCACTACAGAGCCGCGGCGGCCTCTTCCGGCTTAATTATTTAATTGATTAGGGGCTTCGCGCCACTGGCGCGTCGGCAGAGGCAAGGCCACCAACACGCCTACCCCTTTGCAGCCTCTACCTGAGGACGCTCCAACTCGTGCCTCAGGGCAGTGGCTCAGAGTATACATAAACAACAAGCATGACACGCCCGACTTCTCATCGTGCGTCTGAAGTAGCACAGCCGAGCTCAATGTTACCGCAGGATACTTGATTCGTAAACTTGATCGAGCGAGCTGTGAACGGCCTACTTGCCTCCTTGGGCTTTAGCGAATGATGCATTTTTTTTTTTCTAGAGGCCTGCCAGAAACGCTCGCCCTTCTTGATCTGCTGGTCGTGGAAAGGTGCCCGTCTCTGGATGAGGACGTGCGTCTTCGTGTAGCGCTGGGACGCGCTTGATGTCGTCCAGCGACCCCTTCTTCTCGCTATCTGCAGGTCTCCTCGGTTCGTCACATAGTTGGCCGCTCCTGCATGTTTGATCCCGCGAGGCGGAGCAAAGTCCTCAAGTCCCAGCTTCGCGAGCGATGCGTTCTAGGCCCATCGGTATTTCTCGGGGGTGATCGGCATGACCAGGGCAGTTTCTTCGATGCGCTTCAGGATGCACTTCGACGGCTCCATCAGTATCTCCAATCCCTACTGTGGTCCCGCATTCTCATTTCTACCTGGCGACCGCTCGCCCAGTAGAAACGCCATTTTGCCGCTCGATTCCGGTGAAATGTCTGCTTTCCTCAACTGCGCCTAGTCTTGGTCCCGCATCCAGCCGTCCAGCTGGACCACGACTTCGCGGGCCTCCATGACGCAGCCGACCTGACAAATGTCAAGGGTGATGAGTGCGAGCGCCTGCAGAGGTCTGGGCTGAACCTCGCGGCGATTGCCGCCGTTGCCTCCATGACTTGAGAGCCCTTTGCCGAGAGTGGTCAACAGTTGATCCTCGAAGATAATGCGTTAAACCTTCTCGAAGACCGCGTGGATCGCTAACCGGCTGCTGGATTGCAGCTCCTGTTGTGGTGCAGTCTCCCACGCGGAAGCACTTCTTTTCTTCAGCGGTGGCGATGTCGAAGGCGTCTTCGCACAGCTGGCCACGTGCATAAGGACGAAGGATGTCTTAGCAATGGTTATTGAGTCCGAATGTGTTGCCTGGGGGTCTTGCGTACGGACCCCCCAGCAAGGATTTCCTGGTGGTAACGGATCTTCGCTTCGGTTTATTTAGTACAGGTGTTTTGCGAAGGATTCGTTACGACGGATTGGTGCGGGTTCCTTCCAATTTCTCGCCGTAAGAGGATCTACTTAGGCCCCGAAGGGTTACGGATGTTTCCTTGCCTTTGGTTTCTTACTTGCAAATGAGTTGCTTAGGCCTCGTCCAGGATCTCGTGCGAACAATTCCTTATGAATGGTAAGTGTGCGTAATGGGTTGTGGAGTAATGAGCATGAGGATTTCTGGAACGGCGCTATCGCTAGAGAGCGCATCGCACTTTAGCCAGTGGCCGGCAAGGAAGAGATCCCCCTGAAAGTGGGTGCGGTCGAAGACAAAGCGTGCGGGCATCGAGGGTTGGGGTATACAGTTTGCAAGACACGCGTGCCAGCAAAAGCGAACAGTATCAAGTTGAGTGTTGTTGTTGCGGTTGTTGTTGATATTGTTGTTGAACCCTCACTGCTGAACAACAAGTATTGTTGGTTCCCCTCCTGTGACCATTGCGTTTTCAATGGAAGTGTTTCCCCCGGTGTTTGCGTTTTTTGTTTTTGTTTTATTTGGGAAAGCAACAACAACACCAACAACAACAGCACCAACAACAACAACGATTCCCGCCTGAGACTTCCCCGCAATTTAGCCAGGACCCACGCTCCCGCTTGAGTTTCCTTCCATTTTGCTCAGGAGTCGCGTTCTCTCTGGGGACTTACTTACAATGTATTCAGGAATCGCTCCCTCGGCCCTCTGGAGTCGCGCTCTCGCTGGAGACATGCTCGCAATTTGCTCAAGAATCGCGCTCTTGCGTTGGAATCCCCCGCAACTTGCTCAAGCGCCGCGATCCCGACAGTCAGACACCCAGGAGTCGCGCTCACGCTTAGGACTCCCTCGCAGCATGCTTAGGAATCGGGATCTCGCTGCCCTTCGTGGCCCTGTTTCAGCCACTTGTGGCCCTCACCGCTGCCCTGCGTGGCCCCGTTGCAGCCCTTCGTGGCCCCCTCGCTGCCCTTCGTGGCTCCGTTGCAGCCCATCGTGGCCCCCTCGCTGCCCTTCGTGGACCCGTTGCAGCCCTTCGTGGCCCCCTCGCTGCACTTCGTGGCCCCGTGGCAGCCCTTCGTTGCCCCATCGCTGCCCATCGTGGCCCCGTTGCAGCCTTTCGTGGCCCCTACGCTGCCCTTTTGTGGCCTAGTTGTAACCGTTCGTGGCCCCCTTGTTGCCATTCGTGGCCCCGTTGCAGCCCTGGGTGGCCCCTTGCTGCCCTTGGCCCCCTCGCTGCCCTTCGTGGCCCCGTTGCAGCCCTTCGTGGCCCCTTCGCTGCCCTTCGTGTCTGTGCCCTTCGTGGCCCCCGCTCGTTCGCGCCCGTCGTGGCCCCATATGCATGCCCTTCGTGGCCCCGCTGTCGCCTTTCGTGGCACCCTCGCTGCCCTTCGTGGCCCCGTTGCAGCCCTTCGTGGCCCCTGCGCTGCCCTTCGTGTCTGTGCCCTTCGTGGCTCCCGCTGCTTCGCGCCCGTCGTGGCCCCATATGCATGCCCTTCGTGGCCCCGCTCGCCCTTGTATGGCCCCATCGCTGTCCTACGTGGCCCCGTTGCTACCCTCAGTGGCCCCGTCGTTGCCCTCTGTGGCCTTGCATTATCTGCCCTTTGTGGCCCCCGCTCGTTCGTGCCCTTCGTGGCCCTATGCGCATGCCCTTCGTGGCCCCGCTGTCGCCCTTCGCGGCCCCCCTGCTGCCATTCGTGGCCCCGCTGTCGCTCTGGCTCTCGCTCTCGCTCTCGCTCTCGCTTTCGCTCGTCGTCGTCGTCGCCGTCCTCGTCCTCGTCGTCGTCGTCGTCGGTCCCCTGTCCGTCCCTCTTGGGGTCGGGCTGCCGCCGATCAGCGCTGCCGCTGGCCAGGCCGACCGTCCGCGGCCGTTCCTCCGCTTGCCGGGGTTCGGCCTGCAGGGGAGAAAGATATACCCCCCAAAAGGGGCACGATCGAAGACGAAGAGGGCGGGTATCGAGAGTTTGGGAAATATACGCTGGATGATACTCGAGCAGATAAGCCCGAACAGTCTTAAAATGATTGTTGTTGCTGTTGTTGGTGTTGTTGTTGTTGTTAGTATCATCGCCCCCTTTTCCCCCCGTGACCCGCCCCGCGACCTTGGCCCGCGATCCACCCCACATCCACCCGCGACCCACCCTCCCCCCGCCCCCATCAGTCTGTTGTGCGCAAGCACGCGCAGTCACAACCCACCCGAGTGACGACACTCTCCATCTCGCCGCTCTTGTACGTCTCCCCATCCACCTCGCAGTATCATTTGGGCCGCCTCGCCCGCCGCGGGGACGGACTCGTAGGTGGCCTTCACGCCCCACCCCGGACCCAGGATTTCCCGAGCACGCCAGCCGAGAAGCCCCGACGCCAACGCGCCTCCCGAGCGGCGTATCCAGATGTGGCTCCCGACCTTCGTGGCTTCACTCGAGAGCCAGTTGAACATGTGATCCTTCTTGCTGCTTGTTCGGTTCCTTGTTCTTCTGGGTGCCCTCGGTCTTCCCATTCTCTGCCTCGAGCTCCCGACGTGCTGGGAGCCTCTCCGAAACCGCCAGCACAATCTTGCTCGACGCGTTTAATCATGAATGGTCCGACCATCTCAGCTCCCTCCTAAGCCTCGTAAAAGCTTTAATCCTTCCTTGTTCTCGGACGCTCACCACATGGACGCGAAGCGTCGGGTCGCAAACCGTCCATCGTTACATGCATCGTTTGCCCGACCTATCTTTGACACGCAGGGCATGACAAGTCCGCTCTTGGAATCCGTCTGGTAGTAGATCCTGTTCCACCGCGCCCACGGCGCCATGACGACAGAGGCCTTAGAGCCCAACATCACGATCTCCTCTGCGTCCTCGAAGCCATATTTCCCCTCCTGGTTGTGCTCGAACTCCTCCGCCGGTGCCGCCCAGAGAGGACAGGCCTCAAGTGCTATGCCCCCCGTGTGTCGGCCGAGCGCGGCAGCCACGGCGCATCACCAAGGCTTCGGCTCGGCAAGATGAGGTTGTGTGAGATCTCGTCCGCACGGTGCTGATGTCAAAGGGGGGTTCGTAAGATCTTGCTGGAAATCCCTCGGGCCGAAACCTGAGCGACGGCAAAGCGACGACAGAGAAAGGGAGAGGCAGAGAGAGAGAGAGAGAGATAGAGAGAGACGACACAACGAGGGGCAACAAGCAGTACAACAGTGCATGTTTCATCGCATCTTCGTGATGGGCACTGGGGCAACGCGGCAGCCGCGGGCTTCCTACACGGACGCTTGTTTCTGGAGGCCAGCGCGTACTGTTCGGGTAGGCGCTGGACGCCCCCGGCGGCGCCGTCAGCGCCGCCTCTAGCGCGCGGGGCCAGGGAGAGGGGTCCAGCGCCGATCCAAGAATCAGCAGGAGAAAAAACACACAGACACAGTTAATCGCCGATCCCCAGGAAAATATTGGAAAATATGGGAAGTGGGGGGGAAGACGAAAACGTGGCAAATATTAGAAAATATGGAGAATCCTGTTATTTGTGTGTATTTATTTGTGTGTTCCAGGGCCCCTTCAAAGAAGTCGTGCGGGCCTCCGAAGGGCTCCCGCCTGTGATCACAGGTTCCCGCGTGGACCGCCGAAATTTCGCGCCCGACCTCCACAACGCTGTTCGCGCGATCCTTGCGCTTGTGATCGCACGTTCCGGTCCGATCCGGTTCCCCAGCTCGGTGCGCTGGTTGACCTTCCTCGGGAATTGGAGCATATACATTACCAGTGGCGGGCTGTTTTCGATCCCAGAACTTTTTGAGGGTCGGGGACGACGTCGGGGTGGTGTGATGCATACTTGTTTCCTTGGCTTTCCGGGGAAGCAGCGAAACATGTATACACCAGTATCCCGTATACACCAGGATCCGCTTTCTTGTGGAAACTTCAGTGCGGGGCCGGAAAAAGCGTCGGTGTATAGAGTTCGGTTCCCTATTTTCCTTCGCTTCTTCCTGTCGGCGCACGTGGACATGCAGGAGGGAGAGTTGGGCCGTCGGTCGGTCGAGGACCACAGGCGGCTCAGTCAGCTGAGCTCCTCGGGGGGCTGGTGATCTCGAAGGAGAGGGTGAAGAGGATGAGCAAGAGGAGGATGACCAAGAGAATCAGGAGGAAGATGAGGACTAGGAGAAGCGAGGGGAAGAGGACGATCGTTCCGATCCGATCACGTCTCCAGGGATTCGGTGCGCTGGCGGATATTCTTTCGAGAGCTTGGCGGCGACTACAAGTGGGTGGCGCGATGGAGATGGGCTTCTGTAAGAAGGTGGATGGGCTTCTTACCAGAAGACAAGGGCTTTCTTGCAAGGTCCTGGTCGCTTCCAAGGCGCCTCCTTAGCGACCAGGCGGGCTTCTGAGAAGCCCCGCCGCCTTTTCAGAAACACACACCCCTCGCGCCACCTTCTTTTACCAGCTGGAAACAGATTCCCATCCCTATGTTTGGCATCACCTCACCTCGGTGCTGATCTTAAGGATGTGCCCTCAGTTTCTGAGGGCACATCCCTAAGATTGTCATCGCCTTGGGCGTGCCGATCTCAGGGATAGGGGACAGGGGTACACATGGTTCAGTTATAATTATTCGGACGTTCTTTGATTTTTTGGGGGCCAAGATCCTTCCATTTCTAATTGTTCTGTCCTGGGCCTCTTCCTGGCCACTAGGGGGCCAGGAACAATCAGAGACGAGCACGCCTAGAAACGAGCACGATCAGAAGTGAACGACGGGCAAGTTCGAGGCCGGTCACCCTTGGGAGCGCCGCTCTTAAGGTCGGCGGCGGCGTGCCGGCGGCCCGCCGGCAGGACGTCTGCCGCAAGTGGCTGCGCGGCTCGGTGGAGCTGCTGCGCGGCTTCGAGGACGCGGAGCCAGGTTCCGCTCCTCCGCCGGGGGCGGCCGCGGAGGTCCCGTGGGCCCAGACCTCCGACTTCGTATATAACCCGAAAATGGATTTTACGAGTTTTAAGCTCATTTTCGAGAACGCTCTCTTCTCGTAATCAGAGCATTGATCTGTGTGTTGAGATCTCTACGAGGATCCCGGCGGTAACCTGGTTGACGGTTTACCGCCGGCTCCCAGCATCTGGGCCTAAGTCGGGCCCGTCTCTCTACAGGTGGAAAATGCAAAGCTAGTCAAAACATGGTCTGGGGACGATGTTGTTGCATTCGTTGATGATTTTGGGTGCATGTTTGGAGTCTGTTTATATTTTTCGCCTAGAATCCGCCTGTAGGTGGACGGGCCCGACCTAAATCTAGGCCTCCCAGATGGAGCCCGAGTGGATGGGACCGGAGGATGGCGCCGCATCGCCGGTGCATCGCCGGTGCGGCTCGATGTGGAGCCCGATGTCCTTTACGCATACGTCGCCGATGCATCGTCCACGTCGATGATGCATCGCAGGTGCATCGCCGATGCATCGCCGGTATATCGGCGATGCGGCACGATCCTCCGACCCCATCTACTCCGACCCCATCTAGGAGGCCTCCAACCCAGACCTCCGAGAATACGGTGAGGAATTTTGGCCAAGCGTGTCGCTTCGCCGATTTTCGCCGATTTTGGCCCACCGCGCTTCGGCGCGACACGCTATCCACTTTACGGTCCCCAGGCATCGACGTCCCGAGACGTTCCCGAGGCTCCCCACCCCGCAGAGTGGAGCGACACGCTGTCCGCTTGCACGGCACTGCGTGTCGCCGGGGTTGTCACGTTACGCGGAAGTCCCTGGCCGTATGATTGTTCCAATCCCGACGTTCTGACTCGATTGGGTCCTTCGTGGCCCGTTACGGGGCCCCCTGGCCATACACCATGGATCTTGGGCGAAAAGTTGCCCCCAGGGAGGGGGTCGGGACTTCTAGGGGACTTCTAGGGCGCGGACTGAAACTACTACCGTAGCATGTCGGGGGACCTCGAATCTCAGGGGAGGTTCTCGGACGTTTTCCTTGGTTCTCATCTGGAGGCGTGCCAGCAGCTGCGGCGCTTCGCCAAGAGCGTGCAGTGGGTGCTCGAGTCGCCCCGATCTGGCCGCTAGAGATCCGAGTTTGTTCTGGCCAAAAAGCTTGTGCCACTGAGCAGGAGTAGGGGGGAGTGAGGCGAGGGGGAAGGAGGAAGGCGGAGAAGGGAAGGTGAGGAGATGGAGGAAGGGATGAGGAGGAGGGAGTTCGAGGAGGCTGATGATGATGATGATGCTGCTGCTGATGATGATGATGATGATGATGATGATGATGATGATGATGATGATGATGATGATGATGATGATGATGATGATGATGATGATGATGATGATGATGATGATGATGATGATGATGATGATGATGATGATGATGATGATGATGATGATGATAATGATAATGATGATGATGATGAGGTGGAGGAGGAGGAGGCGGAGGAGGAGGAGGATGTAGGTGTCCCAGGTTGCTCTTGCTGCTGTCGAACGAGCGCAAACACGCATTGAGGCGCGCAGATCAGCGGCGAGCGCCATCGCCAATTCGCTGAGCACCGGCCTCGCCAGCGCCCACCGTGCCATATCCACGGACCTCTGATCCCTGCTGGCGCGAGCCCGCTGCCTCCCCAGCTCGCCCTCCTCCAGTCAGGCTGCGGGCTGGCGCCCAGCTCGTGGGGGGGGCGGGGGCCGGGAGCAGAGCGGCTGCAGCGCTGGTGGGCGCGCCGCCGTCATCAGGTGCGTGTGGGGGTTGGGGGGGATGCCGCGCGATGCCACAGGCTAGTGACGGTTGGGAGCGCCCACCACGCCTCGGCGCGACACGCCAACAAGGTTCCCAATGCCGAACGCCAGCGTCCCGAGCCCTTCCCGAGCGCCGAGGCCCCCCACCCCTCGGAGCAGAGCGACACACTGTCCGCTTGCAGGGCATAGCGTGTCGCCGGGGCCGCCGCCGCGACACGCTGAGCAGAAGTTCCCCACCGTATGAGGAGGAGGAGGAGGAGGAGGAGGAGGAGAAGGAGAAGGAGAAGGAGAAGGAGGAGGAGGAGGAGGATAAGGTTGATACGATCTCCTTCTCCTCCTTCTCGCTGGTAATCCTCCTCCTCCCTTCCTCCTCCTCCTCCTCCTCCTCCTCCTCCTCCTCCTCTGGGGGGGGGGGGCGGCTTGGCGGGTTGGAGGGGTCGGGCGTGTTGTCCGTCGTCGGGGCGGGGGGGGCACGGGCTCGGCGTCGGCCGCCGCGAGCGCGGCCAGCGGACCTCCGCCGGAGCCTGGCGGGGAGGTTTTGGGCTGGCGGCCGTCGGGAGGTCCCGAGGCCTTCTGAGGCTCTCAAGAGCGGGCCTTCGCCTTCGAGGATCGAAGTACTTGCCCCTCGCTTCCTCGGCGGAACGAGGGGAAAGGGCGGCGGAAGGCGGCAGGTAGGTAGTGTTACCAGCCCAACACGAGGCCTCCAGAGCTGTGGACGAGGGGAGGCAGTGACTTTAGTGTGGAAGCAAAACCAGGGCGGCTACGCCGGCGGAAGCTGGCGGAAGGCCGGTGGAAGTCGGCGGCAGCAGAAGTGGACCTCCCAAGAGATGACAACATTTTTGGGTCCAGGGTTCCCGGAACCCGCCACGTGCGCCTCGAGGCCCCAGCCTCGTCCGCTAATGGGGCCCCTCCCGGGACGTCAATCTTTGTTGAACGACCCGCGGGTCGGTCGGCCGCCTTGTGAGTTTCGGGGGGCACTGGGTGATCGGTCAAGCGACCGAGACCGGCAATTTGCTTGGATTTTGCTTGGGAAACACCCGTGCCGTCGTGAGGGACGAGTAGCAGGATGGACCTCAAATACAGTCGAGTTTGATTAGTAGGTCGACCCTGCCAAATCAAGGGTACCATTTGTTTCCTGTGCTTCGCGACCCATGCCTTCTACATTCTTATGGAAATGCGGCGATTGGAAGGGTTTTGTGTCCTCTCGCGTGTCCTCTCCAATCCAGCTCAACTGTAGAGATGTACCCGAGTTGATCATGTTCCAGGAATATCAGTTGGGGTTCATAATGTTCCTCCCGGAACATTATAGACCTGGGTTTACAATATTCCGAGAATGTTAATTGGGTTCGATTCCCCCCAGAAAACTATCGCATTGCGTTTATAATTGTTTTGGGGGTCCAGCTCCGGAATTCCAATACGATGAATTGGGATTCTTGTGTTGGAACGATGCTGATGATTATTTGCCGCCTACCCCCTGTTAAAATTCATTCCGTTGAATATTAACTTTGGCCCATTGTCCCCGTAATATTATTCGGAATGATAAAATTCGAGCGTCAGCGCCAGGACTAGCGTTTGGAAAGGAATGAACCCAGGTGCATTATGTCGGAAATCTGGACCGTCGAATCATTATTCCAGAATGATAATGATCCAGCCGGGGGGGGGGCGATCCATCTACAGGACAATTGCCCAAAGGGGGGTATCATCTAAGATAAGACCCAAGGTTTTATAAACCACGGCCGAAGAGGATGTCACGGGTGTCTTCACGGTTAGGGTTGGCCACCGCTGTGTCGGAGGTTCTTCGTGCCTCTGTGGCCTCCAGGCTCGGTCTTGATGAGATGCCCCCTCTGGATCTTGCTCCGTGTTCGGTGTCAGGAGTCGACCTCGTTTGCGCTTCGGCTGAAGAGCTGGGGCTGCGGGTTCTTGAAAGGAGGAGGTGCGAACCCGACGAACTGGAGGAGGAGGTTTAACTTGTTTCTATTTTGCTGGTGCTGGTCCATGAGGATGTTGTGCACGCCTTTCAGCTGATGCTGCGCTCCTCCTCCTCCTCTTCCTCCTCGTCGTCCTCCTCCTCTAATCTTTTTCCCTCGTCCTTCGCGTTCGCAATTTTCCGCCAAAAGGATGCACGGGGGGTCCTTTTCAATACGGGGCCCTTGCCAAATTGACAGGCCCATACGGCGCTGGTCTTTCAAGGAGGGCGCTCCTTGCAGTGATGAGGGGGAAGTCCATAGGGACGCATGAGGGGGGGACTTGGGACGGGAGGGTGTCTTGCATCCTTCCTGCTGCATCTTGGGCTTATTTTGTTCCTCTTCATCGTTATTCTCTTTCCGATGCCCTCATCCTCTCTTCCTTCCCTTTTCCATATTCTTAGATGAGTTATACTTTTCCCTCTATATCTCTGTTTTGCCTCTCTCTCTCTCTTCTTCGTCCTCCTGCTCCACCTCCTCCTTCTGGAGGCTCGCTCGAGTTCAAGGGCTTGTTGGCCCAGCTGAGCTCCTCGGACGAGCGCTTCCGGAGCCTGGCAGTGCGCCCCTCGGCACGGCCCCCCGCGCGCGAGGGGGGCGCGCTACGGACGAAGGGTGGTCAGAGGAGCATGGAGCATTCGGCATGAGCACCAACCGAAGATGCGCAAGCATGGATTCCAGCGCGTGGATTGGCGACGGGTCCGGCTTCCGTGCTGAATCGGCTCGGGGGAGCTTCCCCCCACTGGTCCGCGGAATGCGCGTGCGCCCGGGCCGGAGCCACAGGGCCAAGCCCTCACCGCGTCGGCTCCGCGAGCCCGAGGTCCACCCGCGCGCGCCCGCCACGCGCGCACGATGGAGGGCCCCCCCTGGGCGAATCCCGAGGAGTCGGCCGAGCGCTGCAGTCTGCAGCCTCGGGGGGGGGGGGGGGGGGGGCCCGCGTTCTGTCGATGCCCCTCGCCCGCTCCCGGGGCTGCAGATCCCTCCGTCTTCCTCGTCATTGGTTTGCCTTCCACTGCTCTCCTCCTATGCTCGCTCTCTTCCGCCGCGGAGTGCGCTGCTCGAGACCCGCAGCCTGATTTTGACTTGGGGGAACTCAGGGGCGGACGTGGCAACGATACGGCGCCCGCATCCCCCGTGCTCGCACGGTTCCTCCCTGCCTCCGGCCTCATCCTTCCCCGAGTGCGCCGAGCAGATTCCTTTTCTTTTCCTGCCCTCGATCGTTCCCTGCTGCTGCTTGCTCGCACGACCCCAGACGTGATCGCGTCGTTAAAAAAATCAGGACGGCCAGTTTTTCAGTATTTTCGGCCCCTGCGGGCCCTCGCTGGGCCCCGGGACCGTCAAAGAACGACTCAGGGTGAAAAGCCAGCGCCGGAGAAAGGGTCTGGACTTCTGGGGACGCCGTATTGAAAAATTCACGACGTCGCATGTCTGGGATGACCCCGGACACCCGCCCGACCCCGTGAGACGGGTGTCCGACTCCCCGGCGCGACCCACGCATGAGGCCGACCATGCACCACCGCGGCGAATGCCATCGGTGCTGTCGCGCCTCTCGCGCCGGCACGTTTCGAGGCTGGGTGGTGCTTCCTGGCCTGCGGCTGCCTGGATCCAGGCCCTGTCCACGCTGGCACCTGGCTCGTCTCCGGCGACTTCGTGGATTCGGGGAGGCTTCCAAATCCTCAGCCCCACGCCCTACCTGAGGCCGACGCCCTACCCAACGCTTTGCCTCAGCGCGACGCCCTACTCGACGCCGTGCCCCAGCCTGACGCCCTACCCGACGGTTTACCCCAGCTCGACACCCCACCCGACACCTTACTCATGCCCGACGCCCTACCCATGCACGACTCCATTCCCGACGCCATACCCCTGCACGTCTCCCTTCCCCTCAGCCTGAAGCCCTACACCAGTCCGACGCCCCGCCGCAACACGACGCCGTACCCGACGCACAACCCCTACCCGACGCCCTACGTCAGCACGACGCTCTACCCGACGCTTTGCCCCAGCACGACGCCGTACCCGACGCTCCACCACAGCCCGACGCACTACCGGCGCATTACCCCAGCCCGACGCCCTACCCGACGCTGTGCCCCAGTCCGACGCCCCACCTGATGCTTCACCCCAGCACAGCACCCTACCCGACGCCGACACACCCCAGCAGCCCGACGCCCCATCCAGACCGGCTGGTCTACTTCCCGCCCTGCGGCCGCCTGGACGCCTTGCCCGTGCGGGGGCCTGTCTCCTCTTGGACGCCTAGACCTGAAAACCCGTGCGGGGCAGATCGAAACCCCTTCCCCTGGGTCCTCATGGGCCCCGGTCTTCCAGGAGGGCTCAGCCGGCTCTTGCATCGTTCATGCCTCTGTCTTGCACCTCCTCTCTCCCAAGTGTCTTTCCTGCCCTCCGCCCGCCGGGTTCGCCCTCACACCGACGTGTTGTGAGTCAGGGCCGGCTTCTGACTGCTCCTGGAAGGTTTGGTCAAGACTCCTCGACTCGGGAGCCTGCCCGTTCCTCAGCCGCGTCTGCGAGCGAGGACTGCACGAATGCGACCATCCCCGGGGCCCACGTCGACGTCGCCACGGACCTCGCCGGCAGCACCCGGGCGGCCGCCGGCGCCCGGTGGAGGGCGATCTGCGATGTGGCGGTGGAGCCCAGCGCCTCGGTCGAGGGCATTCCAGACCTGCTCGACGAGGACAATGCCGGCGCGATAGGGCACTCGTTGTCGGGGCTCGACGGGGGTCAATGCAAACGGGGGTCAGCCAGAGCGCCCGATCTTGCAGGATCCTGCAGGGCCAGGGTCGCATTCACCCGGATTTGGGCGCAGAATCCTGCAGGATCCTTCGCATTGACCCGGCTTTGGGTGCAGGATCTCCCAGGATCTCGCAAGATTCTGCAAGGCCATTGACCCGGGTCTGGATTGACCCAGGTCAGAAGATCCCCGACGTTGCACATGACACCCCGGGACCTGAGCGCCTTGCAGGCCTTCGTGGTGCTCTGCATGAGGACGCCGTCCCACTCCCGGGGCAGTCAGTGCCAGCTTTGGCACTTGTACAACTGCGTGGCCATCCCGATGCTCTACGACTCGACTCCCACGGCGACGAATCTCTGGCTTCGGGTCTGCGGGGAACCCCCGATCCGCACTAGATGATCGAATCCCAGTCCATGGGCGCCAGTGCTGAGAAGTCCAGCTGCATGCTTTGATGAGCCCGACGGGTAATTACGGTCCCAGGGCGGCACTGGGAGTTCGACCCCCCGGACATCACCAACCACAAATTTCCCAAAAACAGATATGCGATACCAGAAATACCAAAAACTAGTCGTTACAAAGCGGAAATCAAAGCCAGCTATACCAATTATTGGGCCACACTAAGCGGCCATTATCGTTTGTGGCGCCACCTCGGGTGGTCTGTCGGCGTCGCCGTCGCCTCCACTCTCCCACGCCCGCCGCTCCCCGCGCCGCGGGAAGGGTCGCGGTGGAGGGGTAAACCCCTCCCCTACGCATGGGGAAGCGGGGGGGTCCTGGCTGGGCGTACTATTAGGCAGCTCAGTCCAGACGGCTGGATGAAAGCCAGCGGAGCAGGCCTTCTGGGGCACTTCTGGGGCGGAAGGGGCGGATCAGCGACCTGTTCACAGTGTTACTGCGGCCCGAGGTTCGTCTATCTCTGAACACAGCAAGAGACCTGGGACTCAAGCCAAAATCTACTGGAGCCCAACAAAGATTCCTTGAGTGCCGAAGCTCGAGTCTGGAGAGCTACCGCGGAAGGGGGAGAAGGACTGGGGGGGCTGCATTTACCCGCCAGAGGAAGCCGTGAATGCCCACGAGCGCCATGCGGTGCCGGGTGATCGGGGTGCCATACTACGAAGCTTGCAAGGCCGCAGTTCGGGCCTCGATGATGTGCTCGGAGTCTGCCTTCTCGCTGGGGTTGGCTCCCGCCATCACGTCCGCGAGATTTTTCAAAAAGGAGGACGCGCTGCCTGGCCTTGATAATGTACTGTCTGGTCGCCTCCCAGGCCTGCGGATGGAAACGGGGGGGGGAGGTGGGATCAGCTCTACCTGAGGAGCATCTGCCTCCGCAGTGCCACGTCCTCCCATCCCTGGTCCTTATCGTCGGCATCCGCTCATCTACGACCTGCGCTTTACTGCCACAGACTCCCTAACCTCCGCCCTCGATGGTACCTGCACCTGCTCCAACATCCAGGCTCATCTGCCAAGACGTTTTCTTGCGACGCAACTGCGAACTACCCGAATTCTCGTTTCTCCTTGTGGCGCCTCCTTCCTCCTCCGGCCACGTCCTCACACATCCCTCCCCTTCCGTCTCTCGTCTCCTCACCCATCTCCTCCCGTCCCTTCTTAGCGTGAGACAGGCTGGCGGGGCCTCGCCGGTGTCACCCTCGCCTGATTGGCATGGGCTGAGACGAGCGCCGTTCGTGTTGCTGTTCATCTTCGACTTCGTAGTGCCCGCGAAGCCCGCGGCAAAGACGTCCACGGTGGGGCGCTGTTGACGTCCAAGGCGCGTGCTCGGCTCAGCTCCTCAACCGTCCGGAACATGTACTGCGCGTCCGCGAAATATTTCTTGAGAAAAGATTGATGCGATACGCCCCGTTCAGCCTGGAGCGTGCTTGTGATCTCCAGCCACTTGCCATGCCGCTCGCCCCAAGCTCTGTGCAGCGCAAGCGTGCTCTTCAGAAACACATCCGAGCCCGAGAAGCCTCTGTGGCCCGACGTGGACGGCAGTGCTCGGAGACCCTCCAGGGCCTGCTCTTCAGAGCGGTCTTCGAGGCGCCCTAGGGATGGGCAAGAGCCCCGCGGTGCAAGGCAAACCTGAAGACGGAACGGGTTCGAAAGCTCCTTGGAGGGCGCTCGTGGACCATCCCGCCCGCGTCCCGCCAGGGGACGGAGGCCAGCTGTGCCAGCCGTGATTGTGGACCTGTTTGTTGCGCAGCGCCTCGGTCAGGTGTGGCGCCAACCAGGGCGGCAGAGCGTCGTGCGTGGGGCCCACAGCGATGTCCAGCGGCGTCGACCCAGCGGCCGCGGCCCTCCCGCCGTCCCGAGCTGCAGCTGGACCCTGCGGCGAGCAGAAAAGGAGGGGGGGGGGTCCGAATGCGTGGCGCGGGCGTTTTTCGGTTTTTGGTGGCACGGGCGGGTGCCGGGTGCGAGCTCGCACCAGCCGCCCCCCTGACCACGAAGTCCTTGCCAAAAATTGCCAAAAACGTTTCTCTCAAGACATCCTCTCAAAACGGCGCCGTGCGGGCTGACCGAAAAGTCCCAAACCAAAAAGTCGGTGCGGGCTGCTGCGGGCTGGCAGCCCGCACCCCAACAAACACCCAGAAACCAAGAAAGCCCGAACCACGAATGCAGAGACTAGGGTTGTGTCTCGATCGGTCGGGGAAGGCGAACCCGCATCGGCTGTCTGGGGGAGTCTTTTCCGCCTGACAGGGTCCTCCGGTGTCGGCGGCGCAGCCGCCGAAGGAGTGATCAAGCCATCCATCTGCCTGAAGACGTCGCCGATGCCCCAGGCGAGGCGGGACAGCTCGGGCTCCTGGGTGCTAACCACGAGGGACATCTCCTCCGACGCCAGCGTGCTGTCCACGGTGTTTGTGTTGTCGAAGCTCGCGTTGGTGTCCGGGCCCGCGGTAGCCCTGGGGACGGTCCGGCTGAAGGTCAACGGCTGCGGGCTGAATGGCACGGTGGTAGCGGGGCTCGCGGACAGGTCGTCATCTTCCGAGATCGACTGCAACTTAGGAGTGTATTGGTCCTGAGCACGCTTGCGCATCTGCTGCAGCCCCAAAGTTCCGTCGCCTCCAGAGCTGGCTGCGGCATCACGCACACGCTTGCCGAAACGGGCTGCGGTGAGCCCTCGGGCTGGCAGCACTTGCCGCTGGTGTTCGGGACTGGCCGCTCCGGCGTGGCGGGGGCCTCCTCAGCTTCAGGCGCGGGCGGCGCCTCGGCTGCTCGCGGCGACGGCGGTGCTGCATTGGCAGCGCCTGCATCGCTGTCGATGGCGGCGCCGCTGGGGCGCACCGCCTCAGCAACCGAGCCCGCCGTCAGAGTTGCCAACGGAATGGCGACAGCATCCGGCTCGACGTGCGCCGGAGGCACGTAGGAATCAGTGGGCCCCTCGGCAGCGCGACGTGAGTTCTCCGCGTCGGCCTCGGGTATGCACGAAGCACGATAACATCCACTACACAACTCCCTCGAGCTATCATCATCCTCGTTCCTCCCTTCCGAACCGCGTCCTGCTGCGTCCTCCAACTTCACCGCCTTCTCTAACATTATCCTTAAACGCCTCTCCCTCTCTGGCGTCCTACTCTATGCCCACCTTGCCCTCGACTTCATCCTGCGACTCTACCACCCCGTGCGCACTCACTCTGGTGTCGAGAAACTGCCACCCCTGCCACACTTTTCCGGACCTGGACCGTATAGAGACCGCTCTCAGAGACCCCCCCTGCGCACCCCTCTGGTGTCGAGAAAGTGCCACGCCTGCAACACTTCCCGTGCCATGTGTATGCGAGTGTGTGTGTGTGTGTGTGTTTGTGTGTGTGTGTGTCTGTGTGTGTGTGTGCGCGCGTGTGTGTGTGTGTGTGTGTAAGTGTGTAAGTGTGTAAGTGTGTGAGTGTGTCAGTGTGTAAGTGTGTAAGTGTGTAAGTGTGTAAGTGTGTGTGTGTACGCGTGTGTGCGTGTGTGCGTGTGTGCGTGTGCGTGTGCGTGTGCGTGTGCGTGTGCGTGTGAGTGTGTGGGTATGTGTGTGTGTGTGTGTGTGTCTGTGTCTGTGTCTGTGTCTGTGTCTGTGTGTGTTTGTGTGTGTGCGAGTTTGTGTGCGCGAGTGTGTGCATGCGAGGGGCTGAATGTACACGCGTGTCTCATGCACATGCCGTGCATGTGTTGCGCGTGGAAGAGGGAGGAAGGAGGAGGAGGTGGGGTGAGTGAGACGCGGGTGCGACGCGGCAAGGAAGAAAACCACAACCCCACGAAACATGTTGGGACAACATCCTCCCGTCGCTTGTTCCTCACCTCGTCGTCAGACCTCGCACCCGAGGTGCGGCCAGGGACGCAGCAGAGACTGGCGGCCGAGTGCCTGGAGGAGCTGCAGAAGGCCCGCGCGCGTGGCCGCATCGGCAAGGAGGACGAGGACGAGGTGGACGCGGCAGAGGACTAGGCCGCGCTCTCTCCGCCCCCTTGCCACGCCCGGGGGCATACGGAGTTGCCTGAGGTCCGAGCGTCGCGTTTTTTCCCCAACCATCCTGTGGTGTTGGGTCCTCGCTTTGAAGAAACGGTCCCCGCATCTCCTCCTCCTCCTCCCTCCTCCCTCCTCTCATCCTCCTCCTCCTCGTCGTCGTCGTCTTCGTCGTCGTCGTCGTCGTCGTCATCATCAACATCATCATCATCATCATCATCATCATCATCATCATCATCATCATCATCATCATCATCATCATCATCATCAACATCAACATCAGCATCATCAACATCATCACACGTTTCGTTGCCTCATAGTGGAATCCACCGAAGGTCCCAATGGCGCGGTTGGCATGCGTCTCCCCCCCCCCCGTACAGCGTTTCGTGGCCCCACTGGGAGCGGCACCGAAGGTCCCCGTGGCGCAGTCGCATGCGTCTCCCCCACCCAGTACAACGCTTCGTGGCCCCATAGGGGCTCCGCCAAAGGTCCCAGTGGCACAGTCCGCATGCGTCCCCGCCATTCATTTCGGCACTCCCCTCACACGTTTCGTGGCTCCGCCGAAGGTCCCAGTGGCACAGTCCGCGTGCGTCCCCGCCATTCGTTTCGGCACACGTTTCGTGGCCCCATAGGAGCTCCGCGGGAGGTCCCAGTGGCACAGTCCGCATGCGTCCCCGCCACTCATTCCGGCACACCCCTCACACGTTTCGTGGCCCCATAGGAGCTCCGCCGAAGGTCCCAGTGGCACAGTCCGCATGCGTCCCCGCCACTCATTTCGGCCCACCCCTCACATGTTTCGTGGCCCCAGAGGAGCTCCGCCGAAGGTCCCAGTGGCACAGTCCGCATGCGTCCCCGCCATTCATTCCGGCACACCCCTCACACGTTTCGTGGCCCCATAGGAGCTCCGCCGAAGGTCCCAGTGGCACAGTCCGCACGCGTCCCCGCCATTCATTTCGGCACACGTTTCGTGGCCCCATAGGAGCTCCGCCGACGGTCCCAGTGGCACAGTCCGCATGCGTCCCCGCCACTCATCTCGGCCCACCCTTCACACGTTTCGTGGCCCCATAGGAGCTCCGCCGAAGGTCCCAGTGGCACAGTCCGCATACGTCCCCGCCTCTCATTCCGGCACACCCCTCACACGCTTCGTGGCCCCAGTGGAGCTCCGCCGGAGGTCCCAGTGGCACAGTCCGCATGCGTCCCCGCCATTCATTCCGGCACACCCCTCACACGTTTCGTGGCCCCATACGAGCTCTGCCGACGGCCCCAGTGGCAGTCCGCATGCGTCACCGCCACTCATGTCGGCCCACCCCTCACACGTTTCGTGGCCCCATAGGAGCTCCGCCGGAGGTCCCAGTGGCACAGTCCGCATGCGTCCCCGCCACTCATTCCGGCCCACCCCTCACACGCTTCGTTGCCCCATAGGGGCTCTGCCGACGGCCCCAGTGGCACAGTCCGCATGCGTCACCGCCACTCATGTCGGCCCACCCCTCACACGTTTCGTGGCCCCAGAGGAGCTCCGCCGAAGGTCCCAGTGGCACAGTCCGCATGCGTCCCCGCCTCTCATTCCGGCACACGCCTCACACGTTTCGTGGCCCCATAGGAGCTCTGCCGACGGTCCCAGTGGCACAGTCCGCATGCGTCCCCGCCACTCATTTCGGCCCACCCCTCACACGTTTCGTGGCCCCATAGGGGCTCCGCCGAAGGTCCCGGTGGTACAGTCCGCATGCGTCCCCGCCATTCATGTCGGCCCACCCCTCACACGTTTCGTGGCCCCATAGGAGCTCCGCCGGAGGTCCCAGTGGCACAGTCCGCATGCGTCCCCGCCACTCATTCCGGCACACCCCTCACACTCACACGCTTCGTGGTCCCATAGGAGCTCCGGCGAATGTCCCCGTGGTACAATCCGCATTATTCGTCCCCGCCAGGCCTGCCGCAGAGCCTTGTCCGCTATCAGCCAGCTAGCTAGCTCTCTTTGCTCCGCGCAGCGGACGACCCGCGCGCGTCGCTGGGACCCCTCCAGGGCGACCTGCGCGCGTCGCGGGGACTCCGCGCTGCGCTGCGCCCGCAGCCTTGGATTTGGACTTCTGAGTGCGCGGGCAAAGAGGGAGTAAAAGAAGGGGAGGAAGCGGGCGCGATCCTCGCAGGGGGGCGCGCCGACATTGGCGTCGAGGCGCGCGGGCGGTGCCGTCGGGGAGCCCCGGGGAAACTCCTTGCGGCGGCCACGCCCAGCGTCACGAGTACTCAGAGGCAGTCATTTTCAAACTATTGACATTCATATACAATTACATCATGCTTTGTCATACTCGCATTCATGCACGTAGACTCGCTCGCACGCAGATTCAGTCACAGTCAGACGCACTCGCGCTCATATTCACCCGCGCTCAGTCTCCCTACGTACTCAGATCAATCATTTTCGTTCGCGTTTTGTACCACGCCACTCATGTCGGCACACCCCTAGCACGGTTCGTTGCCTCATAGGGACCACCACTGAAAAAGTGAATCACAATTGCGGTACTCACACTTGCATATGGTTGGGTCCTTCGTCAGGCTAATTCTGCTCTGGGCGACTGTGCTTGATTTCGAGCCCCGGGACCCTCGCAAGCCGATATGGCTCGAAGCATGCCACCAACAGATGCGGTCCATGGCTCCTGGTACATTTTTTATATGTTTTTTTTTCAGCTTGTGCAACGTCCGCCGACCCTATCATTTCATGAGGCGACAGGGAGGACGATGACGAAGAGAAGGACATGGCTGAGAAGGACGAGGAGAAGAAGGAAAGGGGGAACAACAGGAGCAACCTTGACTCTTTTTGTTCGTTTTTTTGTTTCTGCCATGGTTCGGGCCTTCGCCAGCCGTCAGGAATGATTCCCAGATTGTTCTCATCACTGATATGTTGGCGATGGTCCCGAAGTCTGCATCTGTCCCGATTGTTCGAAAGTTGAGGCAAACGCTGGTATAGGGAAAGTTGAGGAGTACGAGGACACGGAGGAGGACAAAGGCGCTAGATGCGTCATCGATCCCGAAGGATTTTCGATCTTCGGATGCTTCTACTCAATTTCAGTATTCGGGGGCGTATTTCGGTCGCCCCGATTGTGACGTATCTGGTGGTCTGCAGTCCATGATGGACTGTCCATCCCGCCCTCGTAGCTGGTCTTCATCGGAGCCATCGTGGTTGGTGTTTTCCGGAGCGGCGGACTCAAAATGTCCGCTCGGCCGTTTCATTTGGGCCCTCTCTTGCGGAGCCGTTGTAAGGGGTTTCTGGATTCGTTTTGGAGGCGTCTGCGGCTTTCTGGAACACCTTCAGGGTCGTTTTGGTGTCATGTCGAGGCGTCTTCGGCCTGTCAGGTCTGAGGCCGCTCTGGTTCGTCGGGTAATCGAAAAACCAGCGACGAGTAATTGGACCTGAGAAGAGTTGACGCAGCCACGAGGCGGAATATTCACCTTGGAGGAGCGTGTTCGGAGAAGGAGGACGAGCGGACCAACGCTGCCATGGAAGTTGGAAAAACAGGAGTCGGGAAACGATGGCCAGGGGCGACGTTGTGTAGGGGAAAGGGGTCAGCAGTAAAGGGGGTAAACGGAAGAAGCCCGCCAAGGAAGGGCTGTTGATGTGGATTAGGCATCAGTGGGAAAAGGCACACGTTGGCGGCAGTTTCGCGATCGTAGGAAGGAGGCATGGTGGGAGCAGCGGGGGGCGACCCGCTCGTGGCGTCGGGAAGAAGGCAACGACTTCGAGCGCGCGGAAGTGGACACCAGGGCTCGGGAAAGACGACTTGAATGCGGGTCGACGTAGAGGCGTGGAGAAAGTGGCGTCACCGCGTGCCGGCGAAGGACTTCGCATCGGAAGCGCGGAGGACGAATTCTGGATTGCAGGGCATGGGCAACAAACCCTTGTCGCGGGTTTTGCGCGGCGGGCTGGGGGTGGGGAGGAGTTTAGTCGCAGAGAAGATGTGTAAACAATTGTTCGAACAATTGTGTGCAGATGGGCAGGGCGCGCGGCATAGACTTCCAGGCGGTAGCCCTGCAAGCGACAAGCGCCGAAACGGTGGGTGGGAACAAAATCCAAAATGCGATTGGCATGGGCGCGAACAACACACATGGGGCAGAACGGCAATGATAATGGTGACGCGTAGACGCAGAGGGGTGCAAAGAAGGAAGAGGCGGCTCAGCACGTGTCGCAGTGAAAGCGAGATCAGCATGGTGAGCAAGAGCTTCCTGGCGGAGCTGGATTCGCACCTGCGGTCGTGCATGTCAGCAGCGAGTGCAACGAATTGTCGGGACAAACGGCGTGGGCAAACCGCTCGGGGGCGTCGACGCGTTGCTGTGCGGAGATTTCTATCAGCCGGAGCCGCCAGCCGGAGACGCGACTGATGCGCCGCCCACGTCGCATCTTAAGAATGCAACGAAGTACGCGCCCAGGGCCACGGAGGACGCGGGCAACACATTTTTATGGGGGCCGGAGGAGAAGGGGCGGCGCAGGGGATGACGGAGTTGACAGAGTGCAAGCGCGCGGACGAGGGCCAGGACGATTGGTCCCTGGGCGTGCAAGATGAGTTTCGGCGAGGAGCGCCGACGGAACGCGCGCGCAATTTCTTGCGCGGGAGGCCAACGGGCGCGCCGGGGTCGTCTGCGCGAGGCGTGCCGCAACGCGGGGGCGCGCGTTGCGGAAGAAACGCAGGAGCAATTCCGCAACAAATGGGGCTGGAGTGCGACGTGCACAAAGGTGCGCGAGAGGGGCGGAATCTCGCGGCGACGTCGCCTGCGCGCGATTTCGGGAGCAGGAACTGGTCAAAGCAATTGCATCTTATGCCAATCAGGATATTCGGTGCCACGTCGGGTGGCAAAGGGCCGCGCAATGGGCGACGGGAGCGGGGGGGTAGTTCCCATGTGTCGCGGCAAGAGATCGTACGTGCCATGACAGGAAGCAGAGGCTGCCGTACACGGTGGAGGACAAAATGCGGCTGTCAAGGTACAACTAATAGGGG